CTGCACAGTTCATAAAAGTACTCTGTTATGGTTTACTGCAGCAGTTAGTGGGATCAACCAATTTTTTTCTAAACAGTTTCATATAAATTGTGATGTATTAGCCCGTAGAAGAGTCACCGCAAACGTGCTTGTTCGCTACCGTGTTTTCTCACAATGTGTAAGGATGGTATACTCGGACAATTTTTTCTCTGTTTGTTTCACTGATCGACGCTACTAATTGTCCCAATTGCTACCACCTGGTACTCACGTCATCCAACTGTTTTCATCTTTACCATCGGACAGAGCCGAAGCACTTCGCTGTAAAATCAGAGGCTGCATGAACTACCGTAAACTTGCTCAGTGTGGTTTTCCACCTTCGCTTTTTGATCGATTTAGTTGGCTTTCTATACCCTGTAGTATAGAACGTTCGTCGCTGATACCTTGTGTTTACGTATTGTGCCAATGTAGTTTCTGTCCACAGGGCTTTCAAAATTACCTTTCGGCGTTTCTACTCTAGTGAGTCAGGGATCGTTATGATGGATGGTTTTTCCCTTTACAGATCTGTCGCGAACTCCGACAAGATTGACTCTCGGTGGTTCCTCCCCCATGCCATCTACTCCAACAACTGCAGCCTCAAGTGGATCCTTGGACAATCATCCATTGCTCAGTGTCGATCGAAGCCCCATTGTTACCGGTAGCGGAAATACTCGTGGGTTTTCTACTCCTCTGTCCTCATCGATTTCCCAGCCTGACTCGGTGACCACCCATCTTCCCGAGTGCTCGACTCCGCAACCAACAGGAGCCTATCGATCGTTCACATCAAATTTTCCCACCCAACAAAATCACATGGGTTCCTCATCTGGCTCCAACATGTATAATGCGGCCTCTCTTGTTTCACCGGGGTTATCACAGAATTTCTCGCACACAACACAGGCGTATGCCCAGCCTACACCGGTAAGCCCTAATGATCATAAAAATGGCAAGGTTTTATGCGTCTTAAGATGATGGACAAATGAGACATCCTCTGAAGTAATGCTTCCTTTTGCGTGTGTACACTGTTGATAAAAATGATAACCTTGCTTCGTTTGGACAAATCAGGCACAAATTGATCCAATCGCCCAAAACAGAATTCACAATTAAAAAAGCCACTCGAAATGTATCCATTACTAAATTAGGCACACCTAGTTCTTACGTGTTTTTATGCGAACAAAACCATAATGTTTGATCCGAAGAACCACTTGTTTCACGGGTGGCCGTTGGCCTTGCAGCTTAGTGGTCAGGGTCTCCACTCAACCTGAACGTTCGTGGATCAAGTCCCAGCAGCGACTCGAACAAAGAAGGTACTGTTGATGGGTCCCCGAAAGAACGAAGCCACTATCCCTTACCCTTTTTGTCCTTCATGCGGTTATTAAAAGCTATGCATCTCGACATGTCAGCACGGAAAGTTTTTTTTCGGGCAAGCTTGATTAGCAGAACCACTTGTTACTAATGATTGCTTGCCAGTATGCGAAAGTTTTTCTCAACAATTTGCATTCATTCAGTTCTGTCAGATTTTGCGACGTTAAAACTTGGGATATTTTTCTTCTGAGATGAGTCCAGTTGCGTTCGATGCTGTTTGTATAGCTGGGTGTCTTGGCACCAATGTGCTGGGGGCGTTTTCGACTCGAAACCAAGTTTACTTTGATCCGTTTTAAGGATGACTTTTCTGAGCGATCCCTGTGCAAACAAAAATGTACTTCATTCTGACCTTCCTCTTGCTTTACAGGCAGATAATGACACGTATCGGTTTCTTAACGTCGTAATTCTTTTTATTCAACTGAAAACGGTAAATAATGAGGGCCTTAGACATTCCTTGTCGCTCTTACGCATTCTGTCCAAATCAAAATGATTCAAAATATCAGATACTTGTTCCTATTCGTGTTTAAAAAGTAACTGAACTGGCTTCCGAGTGTAAATAAAGGTCAACTAAGCACAGCCCACGAAAATCAGGCCGTCTGACTGCTTCTCGTTGTATTTGAGGCATTTCGAGCACGACTCTAGATGGCCAGAGAAGCGTGTAATTGTTTGTTCTGGTGAAGTGGGGTTCTTATCTTCTGATCCCAAGTGTGCCAGATGAATGTATGCGGTTTTACATCTTAAGTACCAGCCAGTAAAGTTTTCGAACTCTCTTCAATACGCTGTGTATTTACTTTGCTGGTTGAAGACACTATATTCCTTTCTGACTGCGCGTTCTTCTCTGGTTTCGATACTATACCATGTGAATAAACATGAACCACGGTTATCAGAACCATCATATTTGGAAAACGGATTAATGAATTGCACAAAACTAATAAAAAATAGGCACGGTACTGAAGCAGGAAAACGCCAGGCTGCTTGTCACTAAATCGGCGCTCGTCCTTGTGCTTAAAAATGATATCGAAGAGCAAATGGAGAATACCAGTGGACTAAGGCTGCAAAGAAATTGAGAAGATGCACAAACACCATTGTGCACAACACTCAACCATATCACTCAATGTGTTTAACCACCGGTTACTACGTTCTCGTAGGCCCAACCAACGTAATCTATGGAAGTCGACCACTTGCTCCAATGGACGACCGCGGTAACCTTAAACTCCTCGCCTAACATCAAAATTGTTCGTCCGGTTACCCTACCAGACTCGTGCAATGCGACGTACACAACGGTGTTCGAACACCGACAGTTTATCTCTATCCTTTTTTCTCAATGGACGAGTTTCTGCGCAGTATAGCAGAACTGACCGAACTGTTGCAGCATATACTCGACTCTTCACAGACAGCTGGGCGTCACGACGGCACCACAGACGTCGCGAGTTAACAAATGCCAGTCGGGTTTTCTGTATGCGAACTGACACTTCATTCGTGATGCGCCTACTGGGTAAGATATAGCTGCCCAGATGGTAAAATTTGTCCACCTGTTCTCTACTTTTCCAGTTAGAGTGATTCATTTTACTGGACCAACCCAGTCTTGTAGTAGCATTTTACACTTTGAAGGTGCAAACCACATCCGAACATGGCTACACTGGTACTCAAACTTTCCAGAAAAGCTTGCAACTTACCTGGATCTTCACTTGGCAGCACAATGTCGTCTGCATTCTCCAGATCAGATAGTCTACCATCTGCAAGCCAATCTATGCCTGGGTTCGCACTTTCTGTGGTGAACTCAGGTGAAAAAGTGTCTTAAGTTCAGACTCGGCTTCGGCTATTAGCGTAAAGGGATCGTACTGTTGAAATGAACTCGGACACACTCTTCATAAAAAGATAGCGGCCGAGCTTAGAGCGGTGGACTGAGTTCGTGGCCGTTTTCAGATCGAGATCGTGGGCCTACGAAAAGAATGTCGTTGCTCCATAATTTGGCGAAGAGTGAAGATGTGGTCGATACGATCTAGTCCAGGTCTCAAACCAGCCTGGTTCTCACGCGTACACCGTTCACGTACCGCAGACAATCGGCGTAGTATGCTCTCAGTGAGAAGTTTAGAAAGAATGTTGAATAAACTAATTCCTCTGTTGTTTTCATAAGAGGATCTGTCATCTTTTTAAATTGGTAATATGGCCGATGTATACCATTCATTTGGAACCTATTCCCTCTCCCATATTGAGCTTAGCTTAAGTTTGTTTGATGAGAAGCATCGTTTCAGATAGATTCGCTTCATACCAATCCATTTCAAGGTTCATCCATTATTATGCGACTATTGCACTGATCGTTTGACATCAGAGCCTAGTGGCAGCTTGCGCCTTTCTCGTGTATACCTTTGTGAAACTTGATGAGAACACCAAATAAATAAATACATAAAATCAAGTAAATTAGACGCAATAAACTTTCTTTTGAAATAGAATTATATTCTGCTAGATAGGGCCTTCATGGTTCACCACTTTACTGCTCCCCTGAAGTGTTTCCCGGTTTGTTGAAACAAGACTAAAATTGTCCGTCATGGATTAATGATAATAGGCCGTGCATCTTTAATTTCTGCCGAGTGATTAATCACAGAACTTATTAATGAAGTTTTATATGACCTTTGCCAATAAGATTCTAAACGACCCCACCCATCCTTTGCATTTTGACTTATCCTCCTGTCGCTCCCACTCGATCACTCGTTCCTCTTATCGGTAACTACCCACCCGGATAAACATTTATAAAAACTCCACTGTACCGTATCTGGCTCGCATCTTGACCAACAAGGAACGAGTTATAAATGAATTACGTCAATCTTTAATTGAATGAATCAAACTTTAGAGACATCAATTTTTTTACACAGCACTCAATTGAATTTGTTTATATTTCTATAGTGACGACCAGTGTACAATTTTTAACTGAAATGTAAGCATATCTCAGCTTGCAAAAGTTATACAAATACAAGTACAAATACCACTCGAAGTTGGCGGACCCAGGCTACCTGTCCTCGTGGTCATGGGATGCACTTTTTCCATTAAACATTAATATGCTGTTGGTTAAAAAAACTAAGCACACATACACCAGTACAAAACGCACAGTTCTATCTCGTCGCTTAGAGCTGTGCTTAGAACTCATAACATGTCATGAGATGTGATCAGTATAACTAATTTTCGTGAACATTACTCAGTTGACCTTCATTCGCATTCGTAAATATACCCACGCATGTCAGTCGATCTCTATTCATCAATCATAGAAACAACGATGCAATTGCTGTCCACTTTGTTTCGATTCGGAATCAGTACACCAGTGCAATAAATTGTTCGTCTGGTTATCGGTAATTGCAAAGCTGGGAAGTAGGCCGTTTGGATACCGAGTTTATTAAACTAATGAAGACTTGCGGTTTCCAAGCGGATGGACACGCCAAACGATACATCCCACTGTATCCGTGGTAGTGGTCAACCTTTGGTGGACAAACTTCCAATAAGAAGACTATTTCAATGTCAGGAGAGAAATCGCGTTGCATCTCATCCTCTTTAACTATGTTTCTCCCGTTTTACAAACGTTCATGAAGTAAAGTGTGTGAGAACTGTAGTCTGAATACACATCGGGAGGCGAAGATTCTTCGGATGATCAAATAAAACTTAGAGGGGCATCTCGAACGAGTGACGCATCGGTGTCACTGCCGTGGAACATCGGGATAATGCCGTGTGAAACGATGAAGCACGGTTTTAGTTACGAATGACGGATGAAGAGTAAGAGTCTGCAGTTCGAGGGACTGGGGTACTCAAATAGAATGAGAATATCGATACTGCAATGTTGAGAGGATTCGGTAATGGTGTTGAGAGTTGCTTAGTCTAATGAGAAGAGTGAACTGTTTTTTTACAAGTTCAGTTTCAGTTTTTACAACCATTAACCACGCACCTTCGTGCGTCGGTTTTGATTGCTACCTCGTGGCTTCCCATTTAAATGAAAGAATTGCAGGAAGATTGTAATGTTTTTTATCGACGTAATCGTGATTTCTTCGAAGTACGTAGGATACTGAATGAGTCATTGAAGCTGCAATTGGATCAGAACTGGTGAGGTTGAATTCTGACATTTTATTGTTCTTTGGAAATGCCGGCATCCAAACCGTGATAAATCCAATCCTATGCGTCAAGTCGAAGTCGCAACTACGATAGTACGCGGCTATGCGATAGAATCCGGTTTTATCGCAAAAGTGTAGAAACAACAGCGCTGAAAAATTTCGAATGGCAATGAGGTTCAAAAGCAAACGTATTTATCCAGGTCTTTTGGTAACTGTTCTGTCCCAGCTGGGTGAAAACGCACAGTGAGCGGCAGCGTGGGTTCCTGGTAATCTGTGAGATCAAGGGTGTTTTGTCAGGTACTTATTTCTTTTGCATAGTCGCCGAGCGTACTTCTAACTTGTTTCTGCCAAAAATATCACCCTTCACAATTTGATCCACACATCAGAATACTGTCTTGTATTGTTCTTCCTACTGTTAGGACCTTTGGAATGACAACGATGGCATTGAACTACGCCAGTTGTCCGGTTATCAGTATTCACAAAAGCGGACTTTTTGTGAACCTTTTTGGTTCCATTATCTCCGTTGCCACTTTGTGTATAGCTGTCTGCAACAGCCTAAGCGTACTCTACAAATTCCTCTAACGGGCGATTTATTTCAGTTTTTTTTTCCATCTCGTCACAGTCTATGCCAGATCATGTAACTGGATTTAAGTAGTGTGACGAACAGATTATGGTACAAGATTCTCGACGATATTGGAACAGTATGACAGGTTAGCAGCATGTACATGACAGAAGGAAGACACTAAGTTTCGGGTCGAATCCATTTTAAACTACATCCACACTTATCACTGGCTTCCTACTTCTCACTCTTTGTAGGCTTTCGCTTCAGAATATTCACGAGGTTACCTGAAATGTGTATCCACTCCACCTCTATTCAAGTCTCAACTTGCGTGCATTTACCGGTACAGTGTACAAGTGAATCTGAGTATTTACCTTTGTTCATCACATATACGCATCATGTGATCAGGCATGTCAGAGATGTTCTTCCTGTCCGCTTGACGGGACGTACAGACCTAAAACACCATAGAACTCCAGGATAGGAAACACCGCTATTCCGAAGCGTGTCTCTTGGG